GAAAGCAAAAAGAAGAGATCGATAGAACTTACTCAACCGCCAGAGCCTCCACACGGCTTCGGAGAGTCAAATCGTCGAAGGTATAACCTCAGATCTAGGCCGATTGGGGAGTTTTTAGGATAAACGGTTCTCAATTTTGGTTTTAGGGTAAACAAGGGATTATTTTGGCGTATTTTTATAAATTTCGACCACCGTGAACAGTGGTTGGCGATGGCTGTCGGTGACAGCAAACGACGCCAGACCGATGACCGGCATCCCTCCGACGAGGGAGTTTAGAGAGAATTGAGAGCTTTATACCCTTAATGGTCGGTTAAAGGGCATTTATACCCTTCCCCGGACGGCGTCGTTTTAGGGAGGGGTTTTTGTGTAATTCTAAGATGGACAAACCTCGTCTGTGGTCTCTGTAATTTGTAAGCTTTGCATTTTGGTCACGAAATCATGTTTCTGTGCATTTTAATTTTATCTTCTCATTTTATTTTATTATATTTTAGTCACTGCCATGTTTATATATATTTTAGGTAAAATAGTTTATTTTGTCCCTTATATTTTAATCCCGATTAGTATTTATGGTTAAATTACACTGTTAGTATATATATTACATAATATTTTGAATTAGGGCCATTAATTTAGATATTTTGCAATTTAATCCCTATAAGTTTATTATAATTATTACATGTATTTGGGTTATATTATTTTATACAATGAATTATAAAAATATTTCCTTAACTTATTAGGAATGTATTTTAAATGATTTATTGGTATAAAATAATATCCTTGATATTCATTAAAGGGATCATAAAATTAAATTAAATTCAGATTTGTAAATTTTTACTGTAAAGACATTAATTAATAAACAAATGTACTAATTTTGGGCGTTGTGGGGGGTACTAATCCTTCCCCACATGTAACCGACTCCCGAACTCATTTTCTGGTAAGCAGACCCTTTTTGTGTCATTTTAATATTATTTTTATAAATTTTATTAAAATAACATATCATTTTTGGTGACCAATCACACCTCGAAAAATGATTGGTGGTGACTCCTCAAAATTGTGTTTTATCTTATGCAAGAAGAAAAACACTTACTTTTTCGAAACAAGATTTAGAAAATAACGACTTTTGTTTTCGCCTGGCAAATACTGTCTCGACAGTATTAAAATGAAACAAAAAGTAAATGTTAGTTATGATTATGAGGCAAATAAAAGTTTAGATACTAAAATAAAATAAAAGTAATAATTTAAGTACTAAACAGATAATTTACCATATCTTTTATTGTATTTCCAACTACTTATATCCGGGCGATTCGTGATATGTACTGTAGATCTACTACATACGTTAGGACTACAGTTGGCGACACCCAGGCACTCCCGATGGAAATCGAACTCCACCAGGGGTCGGCTCTTAGCCCTTACATCTTTGCCTTGATTATGGACGACATCTATTGTGCGACACCAGACGGTGTTCCATGGTGTATGCTTTTCGCTGATGACATTGTCTTAGTTGCTGAAACAAAAACTGAGCTGAATAATAGACTGGCTACTTGGAAGACTGCTTTGGAAGAAAAAGGTCTAAGGATCAATATTGAAAAGACAAAGTATTTATGTTCAAACTTCAGTGGGAAACAAAATGATGAAGATGTAGAAGTTTTCATAGAAGGACACATTCTCCCCTCAAAAGATTATTTCAAGTACCTAGGGTCTATGATACATAAATATGGGGGTGTTGATGATGACGTGACACACCGTATAAAGGCGGGATGGCTAAAGTCGAGGGTTGTTACTGGAGTTTTGTGTGACAAGAAGGTGCCTCTAAAACTTAAGGGAAAATTTTATAGAATGGCAATAAGACCATCACTGTTGTATGGATTAGAATGTTGGGCAATCAAGAAGGATCACGTAAGGAGGATGGAGGCCGCAGAAATGAGAATGCTTCGATGGGCATATGGTAGGACTCTGTGGGACATGACACCAAACTCTGCTATTAGGACATCCTTAGGGGTGGTGCCTGTATCCGAAAAAATGAGGGAGGGAAGACTACGGTGGTTTGGGCATGTCCTTAGGCGACAACCATCGGATACGATCAGGAGGGTAGAGTTGATTACAGTCGACGGTGCTAGAAGGAGAGGACGACCAAGGAGGAAGTGGGAAGACTGCTTGAGATCTGATTTGAAGGATTTAGCCCTTACCAAGGACATGACCTCTGATAGGAAAGTATAGAGACTTAAGACCAGGGTAGCCGAGTAGTGCGAGTCACAGTCATAGGTTATAACATATATGTCCTCTTTTTAATGCATTTGTAGTAATTTCCCTAACTTCTACTTTCTTCACGTTTTTGTCATTGGAATTTATGAAGGTTAGATCTAGGGTAGCGGAGTAGTGTTGCCTTAGTTTAGGTTTTAACACATTTGACTTTACTCCTTCTCGTAGCTTGCTATCGTTGACTTCTGTGTATCATTCTCTTCATGTTTCCTCTTTTTAAATTTAGTCGGATTTTACATTTCTGTCTATATTGCAGAGATTTTTATGCAGGTATTTATTTGCAGGGATTACTTCCCATTACAGATGCGCATAAGAAGACTGCTTATAAAAATAAAAAAAACGGTCAACTATGTATTTATTTATTTATACATGCATTGCATTTTATCTTTATTTGTAATTTTTATGATTGCCGGAGGTCTTCCACGGAAGTTGCTCTCAACCAGGCATTGGGGGCAGCCTACTACCCTACCTCCCTCTTACCCCATTGCATATGTGAATAGGGTTTCGTTGTTGTTGTTGTTGTTTATTGTATTTCTATGAAGGCGTAATCAGAACTAAAAGTTGGTTCCTTTAACCCTGGTGCAGCTACTAGTACTTGAACCAATGATCTCTAAGAGAAACAACGATTTCTTTAACTATTGAAGTAAGTTGGTTCATACTAAATTGTAGAATTTTTAACTCTTTAATTTCATTTTCTGAATTAGAATAAAATATTAAAACGTGAAACTGCTCAACTATAATAATTGGGAACTCCATTTTGATTCGATTATATCTTATTAAGGTCTTTTTTGATATATTTAAAGAATTATTTTAAATACCAACAACATGTTGTCTTTGAATTTTAGATCAGATACCGATGATTATATATATATATATAATTATTTTAAATTTTACATTCCATTTTAATTTGGAATATGAACTGCCATATTACAAGATGAAATTAACGATTGTAACTTATCTAACGATTTTATTACGTCGGAAAGGGATTTTAATATCATAATAACACATGATAATTTTTTAAAAGTGAAAGTGGAATCATTTTTCCCCAAATACATAACATGTATCCAATTCAACTTTGTTATACGATGGGCTTGTAATTCAAAAAAATCATAACGTAATTTTTTAAGCATTTGAAAAGGGTACGTATATTTTTTAAAATTATATTTCGGAAACATTAAATGTTGTAAAAAAACACATGATAATATAGTAACTCAAGCGTGCCTTTTTCCTTCAGATGCGTATCCTGTGTTGTCATAATGGAGTCGTCTGCACCGTCAAATAATCCATCTCCATAGAATAAAAGTGGGCCAATGCCACCGCTGGCAGCGGCCGTCAAACACTGGGTTTGTACACGTGGTCATAATTGTCCGGTGGAATTTTTTTAGTGTTGGTTACGAAAGCCACCGCCCAAAGAATACAAGGACTTCCCACACCAGCCTACCGTTCAAGACTCTCACTCATTTCATTTACCGAAACTACCCTTTAGCGGACCAGCTACTCTTCGCAGGCTTGAAAATTTGTAGATGCCATTAATGAACCATTTGATTTCTTGATTAAAAAGGTATAATATTATTATGTGATTTATGGTTTTTATTATTATAAATTTGTAAAAATGAAATGAAGAAAGGTGGAAAACCATATTTGAAATGAAGAAAACTAAATGAAGATTTTTGCTTTTTTAAAAAATGATTATTCCTATAAAATTTCAAATAATTTTAGTCAGCAGATTTTAGTCATAATCAGTCTCGATAAAACCAAAGAATCAAAGTGGTTTTGACTGATATGGTTCTCAATTTCCTAAAATCCATGCAAACCGCAAATATAATTAAAACAAATGAGTAAATCACATCATATGCCACTCGATTATTAGAGAGATCATATGATCTTTTAATTTAAAAACATTAAAAATTATTTACTCAATTTATTACAAACATACCACTTGAGCGCTAAATATTATACGACTTTGTGATGTAAACTATTTTATACATTTAAATATATTATATTTCAGGGAGTTACAACCAATTCACTTAATTAATTGATTGTAATAGTCATGATGTGTTAATGGGATAATCCATGCTCGTCATTGTATAAAGTGGCCAATGAACCCTAATTTTACTTCAATCTTCTTAGTCAATTAACGAGATTAAATTCTCGAGAATCTCTCTTAAAAGCCATCAAATCATCTAATAGTTTTGAAAATTTAAACATCAATCTACATTGTCAATTGTTAGATGTCCTTTGACTTGAGATATGTTTTTTCCTTTCACTAATGATATTTTTTTCACTATTCGAATACTCGAATGGATCTTTTTGTCTTTGGAAATTAAAAACCCGAAACGATTTTCTGATTAATTTAAAATTAGGCAAACTGTTTGTAGTTTTACTAAAAATTGGATGACGTGTACTTCAATCAATAAGGAAATCATTAAAAATGTTTCCTAACGATGTCTTCTAGAATTCATTCCAGTTTAAGGGTATGATCCGTTTTATGACAATTGATTAATTAAGTGACTTTTTGTAATTTTTAACAATTAGGTGACCCATTTGTAATCATACTAAGAAATGAGTGCTTGTGAAGGTAATTTACACTTAATAATTAAGAAACCTTAAACGCAAAAGGGTATAATCGTCATTTCACCACTAAAACAGTCGATTCTTTCTAGCCTGTTAATTCTTCCTTCTTCAAAGCTGCAAAGTGAACAAGTACCAACTCCTTTTTTCCTTTTTATTTATTTGCTTAATATTTTACTGTTTCTTTATAATGTCTGTGTCCTTCGCCATCCTTTTTTGTCTTTCTTTTCTTTCCTTTTCCTTATTGGCAACCTTCTCATATAGCACCAAAAACCCAGATAATAAACCAGCCAGAAAAGAAGCTTGAGTCGTAACAGAGGAGTATCACTCGGTAAATGGGCTGAAACTTGAAACAGGGAAAAAAGTTGTTCTTTTGTTCATTAATAGATGCTTATAATCAAAACCCGGAAACCAGTTTTTGGTCACAGAGAATAAAATTGATCGTAAGCTTTTTTATTCTATTCTACATTTCCTGTCTGCTGTATTTAATGGTTTTGCATACCAATTGTTCTTTTTTTATGGTCGATGATTTTTGTTAGTCTTTATTGTTCTTATAGTTCTTTTTCAGGTAATTTAGCTGTTGAATTATGCTTAAGTTGATAAAATTTAACTAGTTTCATGATGATCAGATGGTTGTCGATGATCTCTATGTTATGCAGTTGATTCTATATCTGAAATTTACGTTTAAGCCTTTCTTTTATTTATCAGATTCTACCTTACCTTTTTCAAGCCACCTGTTTTAATTATGCATTATTTTTATCACGTAACTTTGTGGCAGTTTTGTACGGTTACTAGGCTGCTCCTTGACGTATTGGACCGTTGGATTATTATGATCAGGTTATTTTTCGTGCCATTTTTTTATCTATTTAACTTCCTGATCATGTGATCAAGTAATGTTTTTCCTTCATGCCAAAACTGTATTGTTTTGGTTTTTGTTTGTCGATATCAGGAAATAAGCACAAAGGGCTGAGAGATTTCAAGACTTCTAATTTTTCAATCTTAAAGTGAGTAGTTTGTAGTAGAAGAAACTGTTTCGGGCGATCCATCACCGAGTTATCCGAATTAAGAATTCTTATCCGTGGCCGGAGTCAGGAAGTTGTATTGTAGAGGCTAAAGTCATGGCAACTGTGAAGCGTACATTCCAAGGGAATGTACTCATGGTGGTGGAACAGCCACATAAGCCGGAAAATTCGAAATGGCTCCAGGAGAATCTCACAGGTAATCCGATCATTGTCTTTAGAAGCTTGATAGGTAACGGTATGATCTATAAACAGTTGAGTAGTAACAGTTGAAAGGTTTGTTAAAATGCGTATAGGAACTTGGTTTAGAAGCTTGAATTGATAAAGTATGTGATTCTGTAATGAGTTTGCTTGGTGGCTTTCATTAATGAACCGAGTTTGAAAGAGCTAAATTGATTATGGAATCCGATAAGATTTTGCCTGGGTGGTAATGATATTCCCCTTTCTCTGGTTTCATAATCTTTTTGTTGCTGCATTGGAATTTTCATTCTTTCTCTGTATATCTGTTTTTTGACCAGTCGAAATCTTATGCTTGAACAGATATGGATTCAAAGGTCAAGCAAATGATCAAGCTCATTGAAGAAGATGCTGATTCCTTTGCTAGGCGAGCAGAAATGTATTACAAGAAGCGCCCGGAGTTAATGAAATTGGTAGAAGAGTTTTATCGGGCATACCGTGCATTGGCTGAAAGATTGATCATGCAACGGGGTGCTTCGTCAGGCTCATCGTACCATGGCAGAAGTGTTCCGAACCAAGTTCCCATGGCATTTGCAGACGACACACGGGAGTTTCTGCTACTGATGTAGATACCCCTACAGCTGAGATAAGACCACTTGTTCGAGCATTTTTGGAGCCTGACGAGTTGCAGAAGGATGCTGTGGGAATCTCTTCACTTTCTACCAAGAGGATTGCGGCAATCACAGAAGAATCTGACCCTCCAATGGTCAGAAAAAGTTCGAAACATTTCTTTCATGATGTAGAGGAGAAAGAAAGAGTCCGCAAGACAGCGAGGATTCTGACATCAGGGTTCGAATCCCATCTGAGTCCGAACGAGTGAGTAAAGCTGAGATGGAGATTTTAACCTTGAAGAATGCTCTTGCGAGATTAGAAGCTGAAAAAGAAGCTGGCCTATTTGAGTACCAACAGAGCTTGGAGAGATTGTCCAGTCTGAGAAAGAATTCTCTCTCGTGCAAAAGAAGAATCCAAGGGGCTTAATGAACGAGCAAGTCAAGCTGAAGCTGAAGTTCAGACTTTGAAGGATGCCCTCATCAAATTAGAAGCGAAAGAGAAGCTAATCTTGCTCAATACCAGCTGTGCTTGGAGAAGATCAATAATCTTCAGAATAGCATTTCTCATGCTCAAAAAGATGCTGGAGAACTGAGTGAGCGAGCTAGTAAATCCGAGACAGAAGCTCAAGCTTTAAAGGAGGACCTTGCTAGAGTAGAAGCTGAAAAGGAGGATGCTCTCTCTCGATACAAGCAGTGTTCAGGTACAATAAGGAATCTGGAAGAAAAATTATTGAATGCTCAAGAAAGTGTCAGCAGGATGGCAGAAAGAACAGAGAAGGCTGAAAGTGAAGTTGAAACTTTAAAGCAGTAGTTCTTGAGCTGACCAAAGATAAGGATAGCAGCAGCTCTTCAGTACAGCAGTGCTTGGAGACAATTGCAATCCTGGAAAAAAAGACTTAAATGCGCCGAGGAGGAGGCTCAAAAGCTCAAAAGCGAGTTGGATGATGGGGCTGCTAAGTTAAAAGGTGCTGAAGTAGGTGTAGTCTGTTGGAGAGAACCAATCAGAGTCTGCATACCGAGGTGGAGTCTCTGGTGCAGAAGATGGGAGATCAAAGCAAGAATTAAGAGAGAAACAGAAGGAGTTGGGGAGACTTTGGACCTCCATACAAGAAGACGCATGAGATTTATGGAGGCTGAAACAGCATTTCAAACTCTGCAGCATTTGCACTCCCAATCTCAGGAAGAACTCAGATCTCTCGCCATGGAGCTTCAGAACAGGACTCAAATTTTACAGGACTTTGAACTCGTAATCAGGGTTTAGAGGATGAACTACAGAAGGTCAAAGAGGATAACACGAGCTAAAAACTCAATTTAAGTTCAGCTGTGTCCATCAAGAATTGGCAAGATGAGATTTTAAGCTTAAGGGAGACTATAGCAAAACTTGAAGCTGAAGTTGAACTTAGAGTGGACCAAAGAAACGCTCTTCAGCAAAATTTATTGTTTGAAAGAAAAGCACAATGACTTAAACAAGAGACACCAGATATGACAGTGCAGCTGGAGTCGGTTTGCTTAAATCCAGAAAACTTTGCATCTCTGTGAAGGAATTGCAGGATGAGAACACAGAGCTTAAAGATGTCTGCGGAAAAGAAAGAGATGAAAAGCTGACCCTCCTCGAGAAGTTGAAAATCATGGAGAAACTTTTGAGAAGAATGCCCTTTTGGAGAATTCACTCTCAGATTTGAATGTCGAGTTAGAAGGTGTACAGGGGAGAGTAAAGACGTTTGGAAGAATATGTCAATCACTTTTGAGAGAGAAAACCACCTTGCTGCCGAGAAGGATACACTCATTTGTCAGCTACAGACTGCAACCGAGAATCTGGAGAAGCTTTTCTGAGAAGAATAACTTTCTGAAGAATACCTTCTGATGCTAATGCCGAACTTGATGGGTCGAGGGAAAAAATTAAGGAGCTTAGAAAACTCATGCATGTTGCTTGGTGACGAGAAGTCTGGCCTGATAACACAGAGAGAAGGTTTGGTCTCTCAGTTGGATGTAAGCAGAAAAGGCTGGAAGATTTAGAGGAAAGATACAAGGGTACTAGAAGAAAAATATGTGTTCTTCTGAGAAAGAGAGAGAATCAACACTTCGTGAAGTAGAAGAGCTGCAAAAGTCAATAGGGCTGAATGCAACAACATGCTAGTTTTGTGCAATTGAGTAAAACCAGAGAAACTGCTATGGAATCTCAGATCCATTTTCTGCAAGGGGAAGTCTATCAGGAAGAAAGAATCTGAAGAGCAGCAAGACAAGGCCATGAATGCTCAAGTAGAAGTTTTCATCTTGCAGAAATGTGCACAAGATCTGGAACAGAAAATTTGTCCTTATTTGATCAAATTACCATACAGAGAGTGGGCTTTATCAGGTGCTGAGGACTCTTGATGCTAATGATATCCTTGGTTACGATGATAAGATCAGTCAAGACCAATTAGTTCTTGAACGTGTATTTGGCAGACTCCAAGAGATGCAAAATTCACTCCTAAAGTCTGGAAGAAAAATCAGCAATTCATAATTGAGAATTCTGTTCTTATTGCACTGCTCGGGCAACTGAAACTAGAGGCTGAAAATCTTGTGCCGTGAAGAATTCACTGCATAAGGAGTTGAATGTTCAGTCTAAGCAGTTTTTGAAGCTGCAGATCAGAGCTGAAAAATTTGCGGATATGAACGAAGTACTGAGATCAAAAGTGGTAGAGAGGCAAAAGAGAAGAAAGTTTGCAGACTGAATTGATAAGTGTTCGTGGGCAACTGTTAGCCTTGCAAAGGCAATATCAGACGTCACTGGAAGACAACTGCAAGGTGCTAAATGTGAAAAGATCTTTGATGAAGGAAGTTTTAGACTTGGACAAGCAGAAACATGATCTAGAAGAGGAAACTCTGCTGTAATTTCTGAAGCGATATCTCAAAGTAACATTTCTCTTATTTTGAAGGATATTATTGTTGATAATTGAAGATATAAAGTATCTCAGTGACAATCTGAGTAAACTCAAATGTGTCACTGCATAAAGTTTTGGAGGATCTGCAGGTTAAATATGAGGAGGTCAAGCTGATAGGAGAAGATCAAAAGAAGCAAATTATGAAACTCTCCGGGGACTATGATCATCAAAGTAAGGAGACTGAAAGCATTCATCAAGGTAATCGAAACTTGAGGTTGAATTGTCGATATTGAACGAGGAACTTGAAGAAAGCAGACATAGGGAGGAGAGTTTGAGCGTTGAACTGAAAAAGGGAAGAAATGAAGTTGAAATTTGGGAAACTCAGGCTGCTGCATGGTATGGTGAGCTACAGACTTCAGCTGTCCGTGAAGCAATTTTTGAAGAGAAGGCTCATGAGCTCATTAAGGAATGTGACGGCCATGAAAGTAGAAGAATTTCCAAAGCTATGGAGGTAGAAGATCTGGAAAGAAGTGTTAGAATCTTGGAAGGTGAGAATGAAGGACTTAAAGCTCAGTTGGCAGCATATGTTCCTGTAGTTTCTTTCATGGATAGCGTGACATCTTTGGAAAGTCGGACTCTCTTGCACCCTAAACTTCCCTCAGATCATAATGAGTAAAGGTAAAGTTTGTTTGCTTAAGACTTCATATTTTCTTTTTAATTTTAATAAACCAAAGCAATATGGACTTCATTCTATTTGGTTGAATATACAACTTAAGTTTTAAGCCAACCTTTATCTCTTTGACCTGTACGAGCATCCAGTGGTTTCTTTCACAAGCAAATTTATGCCCCTAGTTCTCCGAGTTTGCACCAGTATATGTTTACTAACATGATACTTTTGAAACTTCTTGTTACCATGAGAAAGTTGTTTAGGATTTTTATTGAATTAATGTTTGGCACTTTACAAGTTTTCATTACTGAAAGTATGTCAGAACTTTGTCAAAGTGTAAGCTTCTGTTAGAAAATAGATCTTAATAAGTTGGACATAAAAGTGACTTTGTCGGTAAATTATCATATATGTTGTGCCATGTATCTCAAATGGTTATGAGATTGGATTCTTTTCCTTAGAATTGTCTTGTTTTCCAGGATGCCAATCTGGGAGCTGAATTGCATGCTGAAAACTCTCAACAAACAAGTGAAGGTCAAATTGCCTCGGTTCCCGATGATTTCTCCGACTTGCAGGGTATCCATATGAGAATAAAGCTATTGAAGAAGCAGTTCTGGAAATGGAAAAGCTTGCAATGCTAGAAAACTTAAATCTCAATTCCAAACTAGAGAGTGCTACAAGACAGATTGAAGAGTTAAAATTTGGAAGCAGCTCTAGTCGAGAAAGTGTTAGAGCAAAGAGGCAGATAAATGCTAAACAAGAAAGGGAGGAACTTGTCAATCGGCTCAGTAACAAT